GTAGAATACGGCAGATGAGCGGAAAAGCAGCTTATAAACCGTATGGCAGGAGAGGTGCAGCAGTCATAGGTAGTGTCACATTTGTTCAATGTGGAAGTAGGTTGTGCCCAAGAATTAGGCAAGCGAAGAATTCCTAAGTATTAAGATCCCAAGAAGTTGCAATGTCTGACAGGTTTGTAGGCGAATGGTTCAGAGAACCGACATGTTGATAAATTAGACACATGTGCAACTCTTGGGTATCTTTATTGAGGAAACGTTTTGCCACACAGTGGCTTCATCAGTCCATACATAGGAGAAACTTGAAGAACAGGAGGAGAATGAGGTAATCAGTCCCTCAACCTTGAGTCGATGTGTTCAGTCCATCAATCTTGAGTAGAATACGGCAGATGAGCGGAGAAGCAGCTTATAAACCGTATGGCAGGAGAGGTGCAGCAGTCATAGGTAGTGTCACATTTGTTCAATGTGGAAGTAGGTTGTGCCCAAGAATTAGGCAAGCGAAGAATTCCTAAGTATTAAGATCCCAAGAAGTTGCAGTGTCTGACAGGTTTGTAGATGAATGGTTCAGAGAACCGACATGTTGATAAATTAGACACATTGAACAAATGTGACACTACCTATGACTGCTGCACCTCTCCTGCCATACGGTTTATAAGCTGCTTCTCCGCTCATCTGCCGTATTCTACTCAAGATTGATGGACTGAACACATCGACTCAAGGTTGAGGGACTGATGACCTCATTCTCCTCCTGTTCTTCAAGTTTCTCCTATGTATGGACTGATGAAGCCACTGTGTGGCAAAACGTTTCCTCAATAAAGATACCCAAGAGTTGCACATGTGTCTAATTTATCAACATGTCGGTTGTCTGAACCATTCGCCTACAAACCTGTCAGACACTGCAACTTCTTGGGATCTTAATACTTAGGAATTCTTCGCTTGCCTAATTCTTGGGCACAACCTACTTCCACATTGAACAAATGTGACACTACCTATGACTGCTGCACCTCTCCTGCCATACGGTTTATAAGCTGCTTCTCTGTTCATCTGCCGTATTCTACTCAAGATTGATGGACTGAACACATCGACTCAAGGTTGAGGGACTGATTACCTCATTCTCCTCCTGTTCTTCAAGTTTCTCCTATGTATGGACTGATGAAGCCACTGTGTGGCGAAACGTTTCCTCAATAAAGATACCCAAGAGTTGCACATGTGTCTAATTTATCAACATGTCGGTTGTCTGAACCATTTGCCTACAAACCTGTCAGACACTGCAACTCTTGGGATCTTAATACTTAGGAATTCTTCGCTTGCCTAATTCTTGGGCACAACCTACTTCCACATTGAACAAATGTGACACTACCTATGACTGCTGCACCTCTCCTGCCATACGGTTTATAAGCTGCTTCTCCGTTCATCTGCCGTATTCTACTCAAGATTGATGGACTGAACACATCGACTCAAGGTTGAGGGACTGATTACCTCATACTCCTCCTGTTCTTCAAGTTTCTCCTATGTATGGACTGATGAAGCCACTGTGTGGCGAAACGTTTCCTCAATAAAGATACCCAAGAGTTGTACATGTGTCTAATTTATCAACATGTCGGTTCTCTGAACCATTCATCTACAAACATTTTTTATTGTTGGTTTGTGTAAACATGTTTTGTAAACAATATAATGACAGCAAAGTTTGTGCTGTTATTGTGTAGTATACAATGAGTGAATATATACCAAATAGTCTTTATATTGGTCGCAGAGGCCATAAATCTTAATCTTAATCTAACTAGTCATAAGTTTGCCTGTGATACTCCAATATAGAAACTATGTACTGTGCCAAAACAAAAGCATTCACATTGCTAAACTCACAAACTAGTATTAGTCACTCAGTATTTAGTCAACTTACTCCATAATTTGTAATAATTTAGGGTTAAGAATTAATCTAGGTTTGCCCGAAATGCCTAGCCGTGCTAGGTGTCCTAGTGGCCCCCTCTGTAATTAGTATTTTATTACATGTAAACCACACAATAACCAAAATCTGTAAACCCCGCATTGTAATCCTTATAGAGAATAAACTTGATTGATTGATTGATTGATAAAAGTTACTTGAAAGATAAAATATTAAAAAATAAAAGAAAAAAGTAGAAAAACAAAATAAACTATTACCAGGTGACCGGCAGTCGGCGATGTTGCCGTATGCGGTTCAATTTCTGTCAACTTACGCCTCCATATCTTGGTAAGTACTGATGGCAAAACATTCTTTTTTTAGCCTATAAAATTTAGAAGAAAAAAAACCTATCTTTTCATAAGAAAAAATTATTTTTTTTCAAATATTTACCAACCCTGTGAACAGGTTTGGGAGAGGGCCTGCCGACCCTGAAAGGGTTAATAACATAGAAACATGATATATACTCTAGAATGAATAAAATATGTCATAATGTATGTGAGGAGTAAGTGGTGGAAGTGTTGTCGTTGGGTTTATCAGGGCCACTGAGAGAAGCCATACATAGTGGTAGTGGTGGAGGCAGCAGCAGCAGCATAACCCACCACCACTATTCACACTTAAACAATTGCAGAAACCACCACCACTATTCATATTTAAACAATGTTTGTAATTTATAAATAAGAAATATTTACATTTTAATTTATAAATAAGAAATATTTGCACTTACCTTGGAGGATATGTTAATTTAATTAGTTTGATGGAGGAGATGCTGGCAGAGGTTTAGGGTGGTGGATGATAGCAGGCTGGCGTATGTTCATTGACCCTATACACCTCCAACAACATTGGAGAGTTACTTTCATGTCGTTTTTCTATCGCTTAATTGCTTAACTTACTTGCTACACTGTTAATTCTACACTCTATCACTGGCTGGCACTATAGCCTTTATCAATACCTGCTGCTTTAGTATCGTACATATGTAGAATCACTGAATCACTGCAGAAGGCAAATTCTCCCCTCTCTCTTCCTCCTCCACTTCGGTACTTTGCTACGAGTTTTTTCTTGAATTCTATTGTTTCTTTCCTTTAACAAAAGGCTGGCACTAGGAGCTTTCTTTGGGCCCATGGTGGCTTATTTAGCAGTTGCAAGCATAAAAAACAATGGATTATTATGAAATATATCGTATGAACCCGTGAGGTGATGGTCACTCGCTGGTAAACAGTGGCACACTGAGTGTGAATGGTGCGGGAGACTGGCTTTGTGTGCACTGACAGCGGACCTGTACTGGAGGGTTGCCGAATCACGAGGCTAGTCATGAACTGCAAAGCTAAATTTTGACGAAAAAAGTTGCCAAGACAAATTTCATGAAAGTCGCGGCCGCTGAACGGCGGGGGTCCACTGTATACTCAAAAATTCTAGCGGCTTCAAATCAAGCGGGAGAAAGCTGGTAGGCCCACGTGAGAGAATGGGTCTGTGTGGTCAGTGTGCACAGTATAAAAAAAATACTGCAGCAAGCAATGCATAATGAGAAAAAAAAAACTCTGACCTCGTTATTGGATTAAAATGCCGGCTTTGAGGTGTATTTTTGTATAGTTTTTATTGTTATATTCTAGTTTCTGTAGTTACATTTGATAGAATGGAAAACATATTATAGAAATGGAGGTGATTTTGATTGATTTTACTATGAAAAGAACCTTGAAATGGAGTTCAAAGTAGGGGAAATGTTTGATTTTTGCCGATGTCCAACTAGCCATTCTAATATGCAGTCATAAATGGGTTGACACTATTTATGCAATTATTACAATATTGCAGTAGTCTGCATAACAGTAAACATAGTTTTTGTTTGAATAAAAATTCAAAATAGAAAGCAAGAGTAATGTCAGAGGGGCCTGGAGAAGTGACTGATGAACAAAGAAAATATTTTAGAGCCAGGAATTCTGCATTGTTCATCCTGGACCCTATTTTGAAATTGGCATATTTTTTAACCCTTTGACTGTTTTGGTCATATATGTGTCTTACGAGCCAATGTTCTAGAGGCTTCAAATCAAGCAGGAGAAAGCTGGTAGACCCATATATGAGAGAATTGGTCTCCATGGTTGGTGTGCATCATATAAAAAAAATCGGGGAGCCAGTGGTGCATTGTGGGAATGCCATTTCAGTAGTCCTTGTTCATCGTGCCTAGTGGTAAGAAATATGTGACTCCCCAGCAAATCTGGGACCCTTCTCTTCCCAAGTGATGCTCTAACACGATGGAAGTATCAGTGAAGATCAATTTCATGGTTCTGAGGAGTTTGTGAAAAAAAGCAATGCCCAGGATACCAGAAGAATGAAGGAGAATGAAGGAGAATGAAAGAGAATGAAGGAGAATGAAAGAGAATGAAAGAGAATGAAAGAGAATGAAAGAGAAAGAAATAGAATGAAGGAGAAAGAAGAAAGATAATTAGGTAGGAGGATGAAGGGGAAGCGAGCATCTGACCCCATTGTTTTGGCAGGTGGTAGGGGTAGTGAGTAATGATACAATATGTCATTTTGACAGCTGCCAGACCCTGACTCAGCACATTTAGAAGTCCACACACTCACACACAACACAAGCTTGCTGAAGATAATAGCAGTTATATGAAAGTGTCCAGTAACTATATATGTGTATATATACTATAGAAACCATAAGGAAGGAAGGAAGGAAAGAATGAAGAATGAAGACAGAAAGAAAGGTAGGTAGGAAGGAATGATGATGGTATTGAAAGTATATTTCTTTACACTTGCAGCCCAGCCTGGGGCCAGCTTTTGTCTTGAGTGACTCTTTGCTATAGTCTCATAGTGTTTCACATTTTCTCAGATTTTCTAATCGTAAAAATGCTGGAGGCTTTTATCCTTTTTCACAGCAAAGATCTTGCCCATACAATACACACATTTATTTTCATAAATCCTTCTCTTTGTTTTTTGTTTTTTTTTTGCTACATCTTACAGACTTTTATATTTATCCTTAGTTGCTTTATACATCTTATACCTTACTTTAAATCCATTATATTAATGGCAAACATCAAGTATTTTTCCAACTCTTTAATACCTTTATTATCTCTGCTCCAAGATCACTAAGCAGCATAGCTGCAAAAGGGCCGGCAAGTATTCTCGTCAGGTCAATAATTCTGACACCAGACAATGGACCATCATGTGCTGGTGATGAAAAAATTAATTGAATTGCTGGATATAGTACAATATTATATTTATATAATGGTGAACATACAAAACTGTTTTAGATTTTTGGCGTACCTTAAAATTCAAAATGGCTTTAGAGATAAAATATAATAAGATTTTTTTAATACAGGATTAAAATAATCTTGGTATTTGCTATGGATACTGATTCCTAAAAATATAATAAATGTCAAATGGTACAAACAAGTATTGTATTTGTTAATACTGCATACAGAACACAGAACAAATACTCAAAACTGAAAAAACAACATTAAACTGTTCTTCCAACAGTGTGACAAACTCTGGAACAATCTGAGATCTACCTGTGACCTATTTCAGGTCTCCAACTCTCTTGATCCTAAAACTTTTGAAAAAACTCATTAGGGAATAATGGGAGTCTTTGTGAAAGCCAGTGGCAGCCTGTCCATCCCACAGATATTTTGTTTACTCAACATCCACTACTGGCAACAGATTAGTAAGTACTGCAGTGAACTAGTAAATACACAAGTAAATAAGATAAGCCACTTACAAGTGCATTTATTCTCTTTCAAGTTTGCAGACGGCAAGCTGTGACATTGTCTTTGATTGTTCATTTTAGTCAGGAGTATTGTGGATGGAGTTATGATGAATCTCTGTGACAGCTTCTGCCATGTTTTCATATACTTCTGCATTGTGCTGAAATCAAATACAGGATTATGTCTCTAGCATTGACTTTATCAGGCCTGTCTCCAATTTTAAGTGCAGTAACCATGGACTGTGTCCATATTTTCTGTACAGTCAGTACTGTAGGACCCCCATATTTGTGGGGGATACATTCCAAGCCCTACCACGGATAGTGGCAAGCACTATATACAAGTCATTTTTCATTTACATACATGCCTATGATGTTGAGTTTTGGAGGGGTGTAGGGATGGAGGTTGAAAGCAATGAGGTGGTGTGATGGTGAGCATGTGGGTGGCAGTGTTGGTGGCCCACTGTGGGTGGTAGTGTGGATGATGGGTGACTCAGTGGGTGTGTGTGCACAGCTGGTATGGGCAGTAATTAGGGTGGCTGGTGTCTACATGACCAGGAGTGTAGATGGCATGTTAGGGTGTGTGGGCTGTGAAAACATCAGTAAGGTGTGGTTGTGGGGCTATGGGAGTGGGGCTGTGGGGAGTGAAAGCATGAGTAAGGTGTGTGGGCTTGAAACTGTGGGAGAGTGGTAAATGAAAGAATGAGTAAGGTGTAGGGCCTTGTGGGCTTGAAGCTTTGAGGAGGTAATATGGGTGAAAGGTGTGCTTGTCAGTGGCCTGGTGTGGGTGGTGATTGGATGATAGGTGACTTGGTGGGCGATTATGCAGCTGGTGGTAATGAGTGTGGTGGGTAACTAAGTGATTACATATGGACTGTATGTTAGGGTGAAAGGTCAGGTAAAGTGTCTAGGTATACCAGGCATATACCTGGAGAGAGTTTTGGGGGTCAACATCCCCACAGCCCTGTCTGAGACCAGGCCTCATGGTGGATCAGGGTCTAATCAACCAGGCTGTTATTGCTGGCAGCATGCAAACTGACGTGAGGTCATAGGGAATATGTGGCCTTGAAGGATTGGTTGTTGTGAGGAAATGGTGGTTATTGGGAATGGTACAGGTGTGAGCATGCATGGCCGGACAGATGGCTGACCAACATTTGGCTGACAAACATTTCACTCGTGGAGAAAATTCTCCAGTAAAGGGGGTATCTCTCAGTCCTCAGAGGGACTTAGCCCTCCCAGAAGGGGCTAGTGGACTCTTCCTTCCTCTCAAACAGCTTGCTTAAACCCACATGTATTTACCACAGCGTCATGAGGCACGCTTTCCTCTCTTTGCCAGAGTTCTTGATCAACTACACAGTTAGGGTTTAACGAGAGTAATTAGGGGAAAACCTGCGCCCCACTTTATCTACAAGCTGGGACTATTGGGAATTCTAGTCTATAGCTAGATAACAAGAAACCTACCCTCCTGTATTGAATACTGTTGCAATGTGTAGCAAGGAAGAGATATAAAGCTGAGTTCGGCAGATCCTTTTTGGGGATGATGAGAAGGAAGGCAACGAGGGCAGCAGGCCTTAGATTGCTCCAAGGAACAGACAAGAGACGTGTGTCACGATGGCGTAATTAGTGGGCTTTACGCCCAAACCAAGTGAGTTCCAATATGCATTTCAAAAGATAGTGAAATGCTGAGATATATGTTCCTTGGGGCAAATTGTTTTCTAACCCACTTATTAATCTACAGCCACGGTGGGAGCTGGAACAGCACCCCGATGGGATGTCCAGGGAGAGGATGCTGTACATTGTGCTGTTAACAGATAAGTAATGATGGCTATATGTTGTTCAAGCAGGAAAGTGTACTTATCTAACCAGTTCTCCATAAAATCACCGATGGACATTTGGCCAAATGGACATTTCACTGAATATTGGATATCTGGGTTAGGTTAGGATAGGTTAGGCTAGGATAGGTTAGGTCAGGATAGGTTAGGTTAGGTTAGGATATGTTAGGATAGGTTTGGTTTGGTTAGGATAGGATAGGGTAGGTTATCCAATATTTGGTGAAATGTCCGTTCGGCCAAATGTCCATTCGGTGAAATCTCCATTCGGCCAAATGTCCGTCAGTCAAATGTCTGTTTGGCCAAATGTACGTCGGTGAAATAATGTCTGTCGGCCAAATGTCCATTGGCCATCTGTCCAGGAGCCATGAGCATCTGTCCGCATAGAGGGGAATTGTAAGTGTAGATGGTATGGGGGAAGGCATGTGGCTGTGGGGGAGGCATGTGGCTGTGGGGGAGTTGTGGGAGAGTTGTGTGGGTGGAAGTTGCTGGCTGGAATGGTGTGTGTGTGAAGGTGTGTGGCTGTGGGGGGATTTATAGGGGTAGGCAGAATGGGGGGGGGCTGTGGGCACGGAGGTTGTTGCTGGGTGTACAGTGAGGGTATGACCATGGAGGGGGGGGGATGTTTCTGAGATGGCACTGGATGCATATCATATCTGTATCAGACTGGATGCATATCATATCTGTATCAGATATGTATGAACTATCTCAAGCACTAATGTGACTCAACTCTCCTTTGTGTCTGATAACCCTCTCCCACTTTGTAACATACCAAATGTTGATTTTAATATATTAAGATAGCCACAAACCACCACCATCACCACTCACCACCACGACCCACCGCCATCACCACCCACCGCCACCACCATCACTACTCACCACCACCACCACCATCCACTGCCACCACCACCCACCGCCATCACCACCCACCGCTACCACCATCACTACCCACTACCATCACCACCCACGGCCACCACCACCATCCACCGTCACCACGACCCACTACCATCACCACCATGACCTCCCACTGCCACTACCACCACCAACAGCAACCACCCCCTACCACCATTCACCACCTCCCACCACCACCACCTCCCACTGCCACCACCTCCCACTGCCACCACCTCCCACCACTGCCACTACTTCTACTGCTACTGTTGCTTCTGAGAAGACTTTTGGCAGTGCCTGTTTTTTGCCAAATCATAGTGAAACTTTATATGACCATGTTTTCTGCACTCTTATTCAAAGAACAAACAATGAATAAAATTGGAATATATGTGAAAAAAAGAACCCTCAAATTGCAACCTCCTTAATACTTTCGGGCTGAGGTAAGCTGCAGATAACTGAATCAGCAGATACCAGATCAGCGGATATGGGGGTCCTACTGTACTGAATTAAAGGGAAACAATTTTGGTGCTAACCCTGGGACCATCCCCAAAATAGGGTTCTGGGCAATCTGAGCACAAAAATATATGCTGAAAAGGATCACTAACAATACATATTCACACAAACATATACAAGTTAGGTATGGCAGGGCCTGGCAAATGCCAACTAACTTTTGAGGTTAAGAGACAAGGCCACGAGCTGTCTCAACAAAGATAGTTTGGCAAGTACAGTACACACACAAAAGCTAACCTTATTTCTTTTTTTCTAGTAAAAATGCAGCCTCTCCTCACTTTACGACGGAGTTCCATTCCTAAGACCACATCGGTAATGAATTTGTCACTAATTGAGGAGCATACTATAATGGTGGTGCATTTGTGTCAACCATCTTTGATCTTGTTTTAATGTCACCTTTGCACCATTTATAACCTTTCTGGTATATTTTTAAATGTTTATACAGCAGTGTACTGTATATTGTACTAAACAGAATAGAGGAAATCAACTCTATTATACATTATTTAAGTATGCATACTGGTCAGAGAGCCTGTTGTAAGTCTGAGTCATCAGTAAATGAGTACATTGCTAAGTGAGGAGAGGCTGTATATGACAAGACAAAACTTCATGTGTCTTCAGAATATCTGAAAGATTTTAATATCAATACATTCTTCTGACACAGAAGACCTCAGAGTAGATAAGCTAAAGTACATATACAGACGCCCCTCAACTTACAAACAAGTTACATTTCAGAAGGCTGTTCATATCTTGAATTGTTCGGTAGTCATTATTTTGTCATTTTTCTATTGTTATGATTATTATTATTATTGATGTTTTTAATATCATTATTATTGTTGTTCTCTCTCTGCACAGATGTTCATTGTAAACTTAAAAGACAATACTGTACAGTATCATTAATGTATGGTTCTTAATACTAAGGCATATTTTAATAATAAATACATACTACTTTAATAAAAAATTCTTACCTTCTTAATTGGTACAATAAACTTGAGGTGGCAGACTGTTCATATGTCTCGAATGTTCATAAGTAAGGTACTGTCTGTATATTAGTTTTCGGTGTATACAATTATCTGAAATGTTTTAGCCAGAAAGGTCATCTTGTATTATACATAAGTGTTCATGTGGGAGATAAATCAAATCAATCTTTACAGTGTTCTAAACTTTTAGCCAAAAACACCATCTTATAATGCACACTAGAAAATTGTATCAGTGTTCAGATTATCTGGAAACTTTTAGCACAAGAAGTAATCTTACAACACATGAGAGTTCATACAAAAAGGTAGCAAGATTTGCAACTTGTCTAGTTCCTGGAAGACGACAAGACAATAGGATATATCATTATAAAACAGAGAACACTAACAAAAGTTATAAGGTGATGAGAACTGATTCTTTGCAATGCCAAGACCAAGAACAAGGAGACGTAGGAATTGAAAACACTGATCATTCACGAGGATGTTGGGTGAAGCTTTTTAACTGCAGTGACAGTAGGAGAGTGGAATGAAATGGATGTGCAACTGGTGGTAATATACACTACACATAGGTATAAAATTAGGAATGAGGAAATACAACAAGGAAGCTCAGAGGCATGTCCTGGAGCCAAGGCTCGATCCCTGTCAATAAAAACTGGCGAGTATGCACACAT